CTCTCTCTCTCTCTCTCTCTCTCTCTCTCTCTCTCTCTCTCTCTCTCTCTCTCTCTCTCTCTCTCTCTCTCTCTCTCTTTCTTTCGGTGTCCTCTGTGGTTCACAGGCTGACACAACACTAGCGGCGTGGCCAGAGACGGCAAGCTGTCCAGTAGTCTCGACACAGATAACTCGATATAGTCCCTTGAGATTTTGAAGACTAATATTTACGATGTTAGTTCAGAACACACCGAGAGACGTTAGACCGGTGTCTCCGAATCCTCGAGCTGTCGCGGCGCGGGACCGTACTCCATCTGCTGCCTGTCTCTCTAACGTCTCTTATACACCATACACTGTCTTCTAACGTTGTGCTGTTGCCCTCCCACTGTTTATAACACTGTCGGAAGAGCTATATGTGATCCGAAGTGCACACGCCTACCGTCGCGACTAGAATGGTGGCACCTGTACCCCAGTTGCTGCTCGAACCACAGATAAGCACGCCCCCCTGCGGGAGGCTGGTGCCTCGGCAAGAGGGAACACACGACCACCTCCTCGCGTGCACACACACAAGCTACACACACACAATGCCACGTGACACCGGCACGAGTGAGTGCCCGAGTGCAAAATACTCACAAGATGCAGCAATGCGGCCAAATACACAATTAAGTCGACATCAAGGGTAGATAGAACAGGTGTATAGTGCAGGTAGGCAATGCATAATTAGGCAACACAGGTAAGGAGTACAAGTATGGAGTGCAGGTAATGAGAACAGGCGAGCAGAACAGGTGCGCAGTAAACGTGAGCAGTAAAGGTAAACACTACAGGTAAGAAGTTCAGGTAAACAATACAGGTAAAGCGTACAAATAAGCAATAAAGGTAAGAAATACAGGTAAAGAACGTAGGTAAGGAGTGCAGGTAAAGAACGCAGGTAAGGCGTGCAGGTAGAATACACAGGTGAAGGAATACAGGTATGAGCAGTACGTGTGCTAACGAGCGTACCTGCGATGTGTCAGAAACGGCGAGGGTAGCACTGGCCGACCGGCTGCGACCAGAAACGGGTTCCTCTAGCACAGTTCATAAACACCCCCCCCTCCCCTCCCCCTCTCCACGCACGCACGCACGCACGCCTTATACGTGTACCCACGCCACCACGCGACGATATCTACTTGTGTTTACGTATGCAAAGCAAGCGCAGCCGATAGTGCCGTGTGTGTGTGTGTGTGTGTGTGTGTGTGTGTGTGTGTGTGTGTGTGTGTGTGTGTGTGTGTGTGTGTGTGTGT